AGAGGACTCGAGGGGGCAGGGCGAGCAGCAAGCGGGAAAAGGAGAGGCGGCAGGATTCAGGAGCCTCGAAATCTCTGCGTATCTTTCCCATTCCTTTCCCGTTTTGCACGGGGCCGCCTTTGCTCCGCGTCGTCCCCGAGCGGGAGTCTCCCCAGGACCGAGGGGGGTGGGAAAGGGGCAGGGCTGTGTAATTAAATTCCGGTGCCCGGTTAATTGGTGTAATTTGACGCTAACTGTACACGGCGGGCCGGCGCTGGGAGCGGCGGTGCGAAGCGCGCCCCGCACGGCCCATTGAGCGCGCCCCGCCCCGCCGGGGTCGCCCGGTGCCCGCGGCCGTGCGTGAGAAGCGAAGCCCCGCAGGAGCCGACGATCCGACTGCCCGCGGCCCCGGCGTTCCCCCGGGATCCAATGGCTGCGGGTGCTAGCTCTTGCTTCCCTCTTCCCACCTGCCTGGAGACGGGGCAGGAACTCCCTTCTGTTGGGTCCTCGTATCCAAGTCCTCACGGTGGGGCGAGGGGGTGTGATTCCCTTCCTGCTGCTGGAGACTGGGGTCAGCCCAGGACCCAGCCCAGCCTCACTGGTAGGTGATAACGCATCCCGACTTCCAGGAAGCCTCAAACTGTCCCATACCTGGGACACGATGCCCCATTCACCTGTCTCTGAAATGTGAAAGGGCTCGCTGTGCAACTGAGAAGTGGAAGTTGTTAGCATCCCTCCCCCAAATCCTGTAGCTGGAGTATGCTCGTCCCCACGCCCCCAGTGCCCTGCCCCTAGACATGAGGCAGAGTCCGTGCTTCCTCCCTTTCTCGGGGTGTGAAATCAGGGCTGCGCGACACACTGGCCAGCTTCCAGGGCACTTCGGCACTTGAATCCCCGAGGGAAAAAAAACCAAAACAAAACAACAAAACGTGGGCGGGGACAAGGGGTACGGACACGGAGAGGCCCAAGGGCCACGAGCTGTCTCCGCCCGGCTTCCCCCAGGGGACGCAGCGTCCCTCGGCACACGCCGCTCCCGCGCAGCCCGGCGGGACAGCCCCCGGCCGGCCTGGTGCGCCCGCTGCTGCCGCCCGCCCCCTCCTGGCCCCCGCACCGGGGCTGGAAAGGCTGTCTGCACTGGGGAGGGAGTCTTTGTTTGGCCCTGAACTCCTCAGGCGATTTGCAGTGCTTCCGTCACCCATCTGGGCTTGTTCAGCCATCCCGGTACTTTGCCTTTCTGGGCTACTGATGTTGTTGTTGTTGTTATTATTATTACTATTATTATTACTAGTACTAGTACTACTATGTCCATGTATTCCTTGACAACTTGCCCCCGCGATAACCCTCCACGGCCCCCCCGGGGGAAGGTGAAGCCTGGGGGTCTCGCCCGCCCCAGCCCAGGGCGGACAGCGCTGCCCTCTGCCCGCGGCTGGAAGCACCGGGGCGCTCACCCGGCCGGGGCAGCGCCGGAACGCGACACCGTGGCCAAGCGGGCAGGGGTCCGGCGGCTCCAGGACGCCCGGGGCCCGCTGGGAGACCCCGGGGGCGGCGGGGCCGGTGTCCCGGGAGCGGAGGGGCCGGGCGGGAGCGGTGGGAGCGCGGTGGGAACGCGGGGGGCAGCGCGCAGGCAGCGCGGAGGCAGCGCGCAGGCGCGGGCAGGGAGCACCCAGCTCTTTATGGCCAGGTGAGAGAGTCCCGGCTCAGGTAAGGGGAGGATTTACCCACAGGCGTCCCAGGCGAGTGGCTTGCCCTCGCAGTCCATGACCGGCAGGGACCTGGGGACTCGGAGCCCGCAGCCAGGATGTCTATCCTTGCCAAGATGGGGGACTGGCAGGTAAGGTGACCCTCTGCCCTGGGGGGCTTTATTGTTACTTTGGGACGGGAGGCAGGGCTGGAGCGAGAGAGGTGACGGGCCCGGAGGGCGCTGGGGACGAGCCTGACGCTGGGGCTGGGCGTTTTGCGGCCCTCGGTGCTGGAGCCGCCCGCGGGCACTCGTGAGGCCCGGCAGCAACAGGCAGAGAGCGGCGGACCGGGCTCGCCAGGGGCCGGGGCTGCTCCGCTGTCGCCGCGGGTGACACGACCCCGGCAGCGTGGGCCGGCCGAGGGCGGCGTGTGCCCGCCCGGGTCCGTGTGCCCGGGGCCTGCGGGGCCGGCCCGCCACGGAGCCCCGGGGCTGCCCACGGGACGCGGGGGACCCACGCGGGGCAGGGCCCGCAGCACCGGCGGCACCCGGAGCGCATCGGGGACAGCCGCGGGAGCTGAGAGCTCCCCACGAGCTCCCACCCCAGCCTGTCCCATGGAGAAACAACTCTGCCGGGTCCCACCCGGTAGTAGATGCGCCGGGGGCGCCCCTGGAAAGCACTCCCGGGAATGAGCTGAAGGGAAAAGCAGAACCCACCGGCCAAAGAGGCCAGGCGGGGAACACGCGGCCCGCCGGGGCCTCGGCCGGCCCCACGGACCCCAGGGGACCCGCACGCACCACGGGCCGGGCTGCACGTGTGGAGTTACGGAGGCTCACGGACCGGGAGAGCCTTGAAAAACCCTGGAGCGCCCTGATGCCCGTCCACTCAGGCCGGATGACCGCAGCTTGCCGACTAATGAAAGGGAAGATGCACCTTCCTGTTCAAGCACAGGGCATTTTCTTAGACAAAAGTACTTTTAAAGAATTGATTTCTTCCCCAGGACAGTCCAGTTCCATATGGAAGCCTGGTTTCTTTTTCTGCTCCCAACTTTTAGAATTAGTCTTAGACTAAGTCTTTCCTTAGACTACCCTATTTTTTTATTTCTTTAGGGTAGCAGCAAGTCGTCTAAAAAAAAAAAAAGATGAGGGAACAAAATAAGTAAACAAAAGTTATTTAAATTATTTTTACATCGGCTAACATCTTTTTATCAGACCGGTGCGAAAAAGCGATCAAAATGAGATTTTTCTTTTCTTTCATTGAAATCAATTCTTGCGCAATCGTATTTACGGGTTATCTGCCTTGAAATCTATTCCCGACTTTTCCTTACACCCCGGCCTTCCTTGCCCCTTCTCCGCGGCGCTGCGGGGCCCCCTCGCCCCGCCTGGCCGGAGGGGCCGGGCCGCGGGAATCGCCTCCCGCTGCCCCGCGTGGATCTCCGGGGAAAGCCGCCCCCTCCCCGCGCAGCCCTGCGCTCCGGGAGAGAAGGCGAAAGGGTCAGGCCTTCTTCGGCCCACGGGAGCCCCGAGCGGCCGCAGCTGGGCGGCTGTCCCGGGTGGGAGCCTCTCCCGGCCGCCCCGGTTCAGACAGTACGGCGCTGAGGGGCCATGGGCCCCTTCGCCAGCCCCCTTCCCTCCTCTTTTTCCCATCTCCAGAACCCCCCCGGGGCATTAACTAGGCTTAATCTGCCAGCTCCATTTGAACCTCAATGGGAGTAAAAACAACAATTTACTCTCCTGCCAGTGGTAGACAAAAGCGCTGGTGAAAAAGAGCATCGGGGGTGGGAGTATGGTGGAGGAGGGGAGAAGGGGAAAGAAAAAAAAAATCCGTTTAGGGGACATGGGTGTTTGTGTGTGTGAGAAGGAGCAGTCCCGGGAGCCCGGGGGCTCTGCCACCCTTTCCGGCGTGGCCACACGTGGGCCGGGCCCCCGAGGGCCCGCTGCGGCTCCCCACGGCAGCGCTGGGGCCATTCGCTCCTAGAGGCTGTAAATTTTCCTCCGACGTGGAGGGCGGGAGGGAGGGTGGCCCCGGGAGGGTCTTCCAGGCCGACGAGGCAGGTTTTGCCGTGGGCAAAAGGAAGTTTCGGTGAGCAGCAGGGCAGCCAGGTGCGCAGGCAGCCGTGGGGATGCCCGGCTCCTGGGGACGCCTGGGGACACGGCGAGCTGCGCCAGGCCCGACACGCCAGCCCCGCCGAGAGGGATGTCCTGCCCTTCGGAGAATAGAGGGATCACCCAGAGATGAGGGGAAAAAAAAAAAAAAAAAAAAAAGAAAGAAAGAAGAAAAACGGGAAAAACGAAGCCTTGCGGTGGATGTATCAAGGCTGGGCACCCGGGGAAATGAAAGAGGAGAAGGGTGGAGAGGCAAGCCCCCCAGGAGGGCAGCCTGAGCGCTCCCTTAGCGGCACATTGTTAAGCAAACGAAGCGCTCCACCTAAGAAAGTACCAAAGTTTTATTGTGGTCATTGTTTTGTCCTTTTGCTCAAGTGCTTGCAAAAGACTTTGGCTCCTGCTACAGACAATTTACCGCTCGCCCCACTTCTGTTTGGGAGATAATGTTGGATTTCTTTGGGGTGGTGTTTTTTGTTTTTTTTTTGAAGACCAATAGCCAACAGAGCCGAGAAGAAAAAAAAAAAAAAAAGAAAAAAAGCAGTTTGCGAAGGGAAGAAGCTTTTAAAATATCCACAAAAAAAAAAAAAAAAAAAAAAAAAAAAGACCAAATCCAGAGGGCAACAGAAGCCTCCGCAGACAATAACCTCTTTCGAGCAGGGCACGAGTCTCGTTTCTCCTCGCTTTGCTTCCTTTAACCTCAGTGGAAAAAAAAAAAAAAAAAAAAAAAAGGAAAAAAAGTGGGTAGGGGGAGAAATAAACCCCATGGGGTAGCTTCATGGCTAGCCCCAAACTTTCTGCGGATCTGACGGGAGCGTCTTTGATTCCCCTGGCCACTTTGCTCCCCGCTGGCAGGCACACAGCGGCCCGCAGACAGACACTGAGGCAGGCAGGGCCCGCTGCCCCCCCGCGCCGGGGCTCGGCAAGTCGAAGAAATCCTTTTTTGTCGTTAATTTTTTTTTTTTTTTTTCCCTTGCTCGTGGGTCCCTTCTACCTGTGTCCATCGCTGCAGGTTGTTGTGCTGGCGAGCAATTGGGCTGTTGTTGATATGCTAATGAGGCGATTAGACTGTGGGTAAAGAGCTGGAAAAGGGAAAAGTTTCCACCATTAGAGGGAGATCTCCGAGCGCGGACGGGAGCGCTGCCGAGCCTCCGCCAGCCGCGCTCCCCACGCCGCCCGGCACCGCCACCGTAGGGAGAGGCAAGGCAGGGAGAACCAAATCCTCTCTTTGCGCCAATCCATGAAAATGCTTTGGAAACTGACGGATAATATCAAGTATGAGGAATGTGAGGTAAGCGCTTCCCCCGGGCCCGGGCAGAGCCCCGGCCCCGCAGCTACAAGCGGGAGCCTTCAGCATCCCTCCGTCTCTCAATTTCGTTTAGGAAAACTTCTGCTCCGTCGTCAGGCTTCCTTGCGGTCCTGCAGCCGGAGAGGGGCTGGGGTCCTTCCCCAGGAACTTCGGGGCTTGTGGAAACACGGCTTTGTCGGAAGTGTATGAGGAAAGGCAAACAGGATCCAGAAGCAGCCTGGTCTATAGGTAGATCTTCCGTAGATAAGGCTCTTGTAGGATGCTACACTCATCCATATGGATGGATGGATGGATAGATGGATGGATAGGCGGTTGGCTGAATGAATGGACGCATGAATGAATGTGAGGGCCAAGAGACAAAGGGAAGAGAATTATTCTTGCACCCTAGGTACCCGAGGCATCCAAATAAATTGGCTCAGGACCCACGCTTAAATGCAGCCTTTTCGATATATCTGCGGGTTCAGGATACCGAGCTGCACAAATTTACAGGGTTCAGCTACCTAAATGAAATCATGGGTTTTGGGAGCAGTGTTCCCCCAGCCTCCTAATTTTCAGGGCCGCATTCCCACGGGTTTGAGACATAGCAATTTAACCGCTTGGGAAAAAATAAATTAAATCCACCTCATTCGGTTTTGGAGCCGTTCAGCACAGATTGTGTGCGTGCATCTCTCTCTGTGCCTGTATGTGCATCCATATTTTTACAAAGAGGCGAGTGTCTTTTAATCCGACAAAAAGGAGAAGAAGAGAAAAAAGAAGAGCGATGCCCAGGACCCATGCCTAGTCTCAAACCAACGAATACTATTGTCACCCGTTTCGAAAAAGTTGCCTGTGCAGTGGGCTCAAACCGCGCAATAAAGGACTCTACTTTGCAAGTGAACGCTGTTGTTTGGTCGTGACCCACGCGGGAAGATGCCCTCAGCCTCGGCGGAGCCTTGCCGACATGCATCTCTGCATCTCCGGCTCCAAGGGGGCACTCTCCCGTCCGACCCTGACGCTGTTTTGGGCGATGCTGTAGTTTAGGGAAGGGACCGAGGACTTGGCAGGCTCAGCGCCGACTAAGTGATTTGGTGATCTAGTCCCTGATGGAGGAGTTGGGGATGAAGCTGTCTCCCGATGTGGGAGCTGAGCTTTAGATCCACTCGTTGACCGGTGCTTGATTTCTATGAATGAGGTGTCGGGGTTTGTGGGTTGCGTAATGTTTTTTTAATAATTTTTTTTTTAGTTGGCTAAGTTGAGCTTTTTTGGTGTTTTGGATTTTTAATTTTTTTTTTTCAATCCGGAAAAAAAAGCCACATACCCCTCAGCTGCATTTCGGGTGGAAAGCGTGCCTCTTCCCCCTCCCTCCCCTCAGGACCGGTCTTCCAGTTCGCACACGTGCGAGCGTGTGGATTGCATCGCAAATGGCTTTTGTTGCCTTGCGTTAATGGGACTTCGCACCGAGGTGTTAGCAAACACGGAGGGAGCAGGAGCCGCTCCGCGAACCGGCCGGGTTGTGCGCGTACGTGTGGGGCTGGCTCCCCATGTTTACCTCGGTGCAATAGCACTTTTAAGAGAGAATGGAAAAGAGGGTGACTGTATCCCGCCGGGGGTACAACCTGCCTTAAAATTAAAAAGAAAAAAAAAAAAAGGAAAAAAGAAACAAAAAGGAATGAAAGATTAGGAAAAAAAAATGGAAAAACAAAGATAAGCCCCGAAGAAGGGCAGAGAAGCCGGGCCAGCGGCGCTCGGAGCCCGGGGCGGCCGGAGCGCCGGGGGGTCGGGGCGGGCGGGCGGAGCGTGGGGCCGGGCGCCGGCGGCGCGGCGGCTGCGGCGGGGCAGCGGCGGCGGCGAGCGGAGCGGTGCCTGTTTTAAGGGAGTTGTTTGGGAGTTGCACAGCCAGTCCGACGGGTTGCGCCGGAGCCCCGGCTTGTCTGGGCCGGGAGAAGCTCTCGCCTTGCCTCTTTTCCCGGCTCCCGCTCCCCCTCGCGTCCCTCCCGCCCTCCTTCCCTCTCCGCCTTGCTGCCTCCTGCCTTTTTCCTCCGTCTCTTCCCGGATCCTCCGAGAGGGGGGCCGCGGGGAGCCCGGCGGATGCTCCTTGGGCTCCCCAGCCCCCCCCGCCCCGGGCGCCCGCTGGTCTCTGCGCTGGGCTCCAACAGGAGGAAGAGGAGGAGGAGGAGGAGGAGGGCTGACACCCAGAGGGGGAGACACCCAAAAAAACTTTCCCAGCCGGTTTCCGGGACGTGGGGCACGGAGGCGAGCCTGCTCGGCGGCGCGGGGCGGCCGCCGCGGGGGCAGCGGCGAGGGGAGCCCCTCGGCGGGGCGCCGTCCAGGCATGGACGGGGCGGCGGCGGCGGGCGGTCCCGCGGAGCCCACCCCGCGCAAAGGCGGCGGCGGTGCGGCCGAGGGCAGCAAGAACCAAGCGGGAAGCGAGCAGCCGCTCTTCTCCCTGGGCTTTGAGGCCGGCTACGCGCAGCAGCCGCAGCCCGAGGTGCGCCCGCGAAGGACTGCGGGGCTGGGGACGCGGGGAGGCGGCAGCCGGGGGGAAGGGAAGGGAAGCGAAGGGAAGGTGAGGAAGGATGGGGGGGGGGGGGATCCCGCGCCCCCTCCCCTCTCTACTTCTGACCGTCTCTCCCACTCCCTCCCCGCCCCCTCCCGCTTTCTGCACCCCCCCCTCCTGGCTCCCACCCTCTCCCTCTCTCCGGATCTCTTTCTCTTTCACTTTTGCATGCCCTGCAACCTTTTAAAATGTTGCCCCTTTCCTGTGATTCGTCAGACGCAGCAGCATGTGCCCCCTCTCTCTCTCCCGCTCCCTCTCTCTCCCTTTTTGTCTCTCTCTCCCTCTCCCTCTCCCCCATCTCTGATTAGATACACTGATTCTTCATTCAATGGACGTCATTTAGAACAGGCTCTGCCTTGAGTTGCCTTCTCGCTTCACGCTCGATTTCCAGCCATTCTTCCCTTATTAAGTGTTCGTGTAATATTAATAGTCATGAATATCTGCTATTAGGAGTCTCCAGGAAGGCAGCAGATCTGTTATTAGGAGCTCAAGTGAAGCAGCAGCTAAGTCAAAGGAGAAAAAGAAAGAGTCAGAGGGAAAAAAAGGATTAAGAAACAAACACACACACGCTAAAAAAAAAAAAAAAGGAAAAAAAAAAGCGCCAAACAAACAACAACAACAAAAAAAAAAACAAAACAAAAAAAAAAAAAAAGAAAAAGCAACCAACTTTGACTCCTCACACCGCGCCAGGATAGAGAGCTCGCCTTGGGATCACCCGATGAAGGGCAGCAGAGACCGGTGCAAGTTCTGATGGATTATCGTGGCGCGCCCGCGGTGCAGGAGCAGCCCCGGCGCCCCGGTCCCGCCGCCCGCGCCTAGCGCCGGGTCCGGCCGCGCTCCCTCCGCGCCCGCGCCGCGCCCGCACCCGCGGGGCTCCGCCGGGGGCTGCGCGCTTCGCCGGTCCCTTTCCTCTGCCTTCTTGTTGTTTTTTCTGCCTTGACTTGTAACCCCCGACTCTTCGCAGATGTTAGTGCACAGTTTTTCGGCTATGGTGAGTTGCTTCACGTTTCTCTCGGAGGGGGCTCGGTGCGCGCTGGGTGTTGCTATTGTTGTCGGCGGTGGCAGTGGGGGTTTCACACCCAGCTTTCCGGAGAGGGCTTTTTTTTCCTTTCGTTCATTTTAATAAATTCGGTGGTTTACGTTTTGCCATTTCTCTCTTTATTTTTCTTTTCTTCCCTCCCCCTCACCCCCCCCCCCCCTTTTTTTTCCCTTTGGTCTGCTTCGAGCGAACGGCAAAAGGCTTTGCTTGGACCTTACCGCTTCGATTTCTTAACCTCGCCACCTGCAAACGTAGCATTTTCGCTTTCTCGTTCCTCTGTTTCGGGACCGTGGTTCTTTCCTTCGAATCCTCCTCCGTGGAGGCCATTCCTGTTGCCCCAGACGTTCGTGCGGGCTCCTCTGCCCGGTGTCGAGAGCCGGCAGAGCCGTGCCCGGGCTCGTTTCGGTGCCGCTCGCCCGTCGGGGCGGCGGCGCTTCCCCCGGCCGCCCGCCGCATTCCTCTGCTTCCCCGGCGGCCGGGCCGCGCTGCCCGCTCCGCTCCGCTCCCAAATCGCAGCCCGGGGCTCCGCCGGGCACCCGCGGTTCGCCTCTCCCCGTAGCTGGGGGGACCATGGCAGTGCTTTCTCCCCGAAACATTGCTAAAACTCCAAGGGGGACCTACCGGTTTGTTTGGAAGCTATTTCGGCGTTTTCTGGTAACAAAATGGCAGTGGGTTTGGATTTTCCAGGGTTTTCTTGGGACGCGATCGGTAATGTCAGCGACAGTATTTATCTCGGTTCTGTTAAGGGCCAGAGGAAGGATTTTGTGTTGTGGCAGAACTATTATTTCAATAATGCTCGCTTGTGAATCATTCTTTTTATTTGTGGGAAATACCTGCTCCTGAAATGCCGGGGCACGATCTGTTGTGAATCCGCGCTGTATCGCCGCAATGTTTTATTAATTACTATAAGCTGTCCTGCTGTAATTATTGCTATTATTGCTGTTATCATTATTGCCGTTATTATTGGTTTTTTAAAAAGCGAGGCTGCCTCTTAATTATTTGGGAAGGGAAATCAGAGGCAGAGAGATCTCCAGATCTGCTTTTCTCCGCCTCGGAGACGATGATTTGCCCCTCATCGCCCTATAGATGAAATTTTCGAGGCGATTTTGAGGAAAATCAGTTTGATATTATCTTTGTTTTTCTTTTCTCCTTTCCCCTCCCCCTCCTCCCCCTCCTCTGCACCCTCCACCCCCCAACCCTCCTCCCCCCCCGCTCCCGCTCCCCATCTCAGGAGCGCCACGACAGTACCAGCAACGGGACAGCCCGGTTACCCCAGCTGGGGACCGTGGGTCAGTCTCCCTACACCAGCGCCCCACCGCTCTCGCACACCCCCAACGCCGACTTCCAGCCGCCCTACTTCCCCCCCCCTTACCAGCCCATCTACCCCCAGTCTCAGGACCCCTATTCCCACGTGAACGACCCGTACAGCCTCAACCCCCTGCACGCCCAGCCGCAGCCCCAGCACCCAGGATGGCCGGGACAGAGGCAGAGCCAGGAGACGGGGCTGCTCCACACGCACCGCGGCTTGCCCCACCAGCTCTCGGGGCTCGACCCGCGCAGGGACTACCGGCGGCACGACGACCTGCTGCACGCCCCGCACGGGCTGGGCTCGGGGCTGGCCGACCTGCCCCTGCACTCCATCCCCCACGCCATCGAGGACGTGCCGGTAAGCCAAGGGGTCGCCCCGGAGCCCACTCGTCCCTCTTACCGCGGGAGATCAACGTCGGGGGGAGAGGAAGGGAGGGAGGGAGGGAGGGAGCGAGGGGAACCCCCCGCCCCCCCTCCAAAAAAATAAAAGAGGAAGGGAAGAAGAGAACTCGCCCCCTCCCCGTCCCCCAGGGAAAAGTGAAGCCCCCACCTAGAACAAAAGGTTCTCTCGCAGCTCTCGTCCCTGAGCGACGTCTCCCCGCTAACTTGCCCACTAAAATATAAATAAATCAAATTACTGTCATCGTTAACAATATCTTTCCTTCTCAATGACAATAAGCTGTTACGATTGGAAGAATATATAATATCACCACAGGGCCGTGCATTTGGGGATTTCTTACTGCCTTGGGAAAGACACGAGTCTGAAATGCCTGTGAGGACATTTAACGAGATCTCACAAATGTAAAGGGGGGGGGGGTGGGGGGAAAACGGGTGAAAGTGGCCTGAGAAGGAAAAATTGGTTTCCCGTGATTACAGGATTGGCATATGGAATAACCACATCCAAAGTTATAAGAGGGTATGGGCAGATCCTCTTCTCTAAAGGAATTAATTGACAAATCAGGGAAGAGGTGTACTAAAATGCTGCCGCCTTCTTTTAGTAGCGGTGCAAAGGGATGACCTCATAAATCATTACCTATAGGTTATCGAATTTGAGTCAGACCTGCTACACCCTATATTAAATCAAATGTTGGGAGCCTATTGGAGGATGCATTATTTGGGGGAACCTAATTCTATTATCGATGAGTACAGACTTTAAAAATGATTTCTAATTAAGCATGACATTAGTGCACAGGCTACTTACAAAGCAAGCCAGGGCTATTGTTCAGTTAGGAAAGTGGCCTTATGCAACATGATAGGTCATGATCAAAGTTCATCTTTCTGGGTTTCTCCCTGAAAATGGAATTAGAACATGGCAATAAATTTATTAAAGCCCACAGAGCTCATGCTGAGGGACTGAAGCTGCTCGACTTGCAGGAGGAAAGAGGAGGAGGGAACTGTGGTATCTGGATGTGATTTTTGCCGAAATGCCATCCCAAATTACAGGATCAAATATTACAACAATATATTCGCTGACAGTTTAATGAGTACAGTTTCGTGTTGCAAGGATAATGTTCAGATGAACTTACCTATTTTTGGGGGTCATTTTGAAATCTTTTGTAAATTATACTCAGAGAAAATAGTGAATTTATTACAGCCCTCATCTGGCTAAATTAGCCACAGAAAATTGCTGGTTGTGTTTAGCAGTTTTGCAATAAACGCATACGTTTTCCAAAGTGTAGGATTTAGTAAGCAATTTGGATCTGTTAAAAGCAGGTCGACTCTTTAAACTTGATATAAAATAACATGGAGGCAATTGTATGAATAAACTAATTTGTTGACTGCAAGCCCCTGATTGCTGTAGGAAAACATGACCTAAAATGTTCTCCTGAATTCTCCCTCTCCTCAGTTGTGCTCCAAGGCAGTGGGCTGATTCAGGAAGCCTCCTCTTCAGATCTATGAATTAATAGCATTGCTATACTTCGTGAAAACCAAATGCCATCTGGTTTAAATCCTTGAGCCAGTCTAGCCATTTTTTTTTTCTCTGTAAGGCTGAATCAGCAGGCTTCACGAAGGAGAGAATAAAATAAGAGGGTGCATCTTTTAGGTGTGTTTTATCTGGTTAAAAAAAAAAAATCCGTTACAGAAATCTGAGTTGGGAGGATAATTTTGGAATTTTTCTGCTGCTGCAACTGTTAACCTTTAATAAAAACGACTGCTTAATATTTAAGAAAGTCAAGTAGACGGTGAAAATTATTTAATCGTAAATATCTCTGTGGGATTTTAAACTTAACAGTCCTCCCTGTACGGAATATGTGTAGAAATAGCACAAATAAAAGTATTATGCCACACTACATTTACTTTATGGGTTTAGGGTGCATGCATAAAGGGATCATATTTCCCCATATAGTTAAAACACAAGAACTGCAGCAGTAGTCATTTCTGAACATTTCTCAATTTAATTATACTTAAATCCAGAAGCACTTTAGGCAAGTTACAAATGAGAGCATTGAGTATAATAAAACCTGTAATAAAGCAACTTAGTACCATCCACCCGGAATCATTGAGATCAGGCACAATTAACAGGAGCATAAATCCAAGACAGAATGGAAAATGTTAGAATCAGTATTATTGTTGGACAAAGACTAGAGAAGGAAGTAATAGTTTTTTAAATGGTAATGCCTGGGTTTTGTAACGATTGCGAAATCTTCTATCTCAGCAGCGCTGGTGTTAATTTGTAAACACAGCCAGACATTATATTGCCTGTCAGTTTTTGGAATTAGAAAACATGATTTCATTTGACTTTCTAATCACGTCGCGACTCGGCCGCGCGAAGCGCAGCTGTACCGCGGCCGCGGACCCTGCGCGGGGACAATAGTGGGAGCCCGGGGGTGCGCGGGGCTCCGCGCTCTTTGTGCTTCCCTCCCGCGGGCGCGGACACGGACACGGAGCGGGCGCAGCGCCCCGGGCAAGGGCCGGGGCTGCTTCCCGGGGAGGAGGGAAGGGACGGACGGGAGGAGGGAGCCCGCAGAAGCTTAAGGCCACTCGGGCCCCGGGGGTGTGAGTGATTTATTGTATTTTTTCTTGGGGATCGGGGGAAGAGCTGGGAGGGATGCAGGATTCCTCTCGATAAAGGAAACCTCCCCCAAATCTCCTGCCTCCCTTCTCCCCCCCATCTATCCATTTCCGTGCAGGATCTGTTGTTTCCCTCCCCACAGCGTGCCCAGGAATGGGGGGAGCACAAAACTTCTCCCTCACCCCATCCCAGCTCGGCCCTCCCTGCCTTTTGTTGTGGTTGTGCACTGACATCCCTGCCTGTTCCTTTTGTTGCAGCACGTAGAAGACCCCGGTATTAACATCCCAGATCAAACTGTAATTAAGAAAGGTAAGCTGTTTCCTTGCGCATACCAAACATGTCGTCACAGGCTGGGGACTGCTCGCTGGGAGGACTCACCCGGCCTCCCCCCTCTCCCCTCCAGCCCCCCGGCCCCGGGCGCCTTCCTCTGGCATGTACTGCTGGCCGAGAAAGGTTGGAAGCAAAGAAAAACGGGCGATGTGGGTTGAAATCCGCCCTCTTAAATGGCCACGTTTGCCGGATATTTTAATTATTATTGCCGTTAACGAGGAAAAATGTTAGCAGATGATCTAGAAAATCCGAGCCGGTCTTTTAGTGCTTTAGCGAACAATTGGGTTTCATGGTTTGCCCCATGCATCTGGCTGAGCGGAGGGCTTGAATCGTTGTTGGTAAACTGGAGCTGTGAACGCGAAATCGTTGTTCCCCCTCCTTCGGGTTTTCTTATTTAAATCACGCCGGTGATGAGGTGGGACTGGTGGAGAACAAGGGGCGAGTTTCTGGAAACTGATGTTTGTCGGTGGTTAGGGTGGTTTGGTTTTCGTTGGCTTTGTGCGCTTGCTTCACTTGGATTTGAATTGAATTGCTTGGAAGCTGGTACCCAAATCGTGCTAAATATTTATTGCAAATTTTCACTCGATTTTCATTTCCCGTCGTTCTTTGGACAATCGAAAGATTGAGAAAGGTGGCACAGGGCATTTTGCAAAGCAGGTTCTTGGTGGCAAGTGATGGGTTTTTTGTTTGGACGCTGTGTAGTGAGAAGGCTGTTGGAGTAAAACTGGCGGGGTGGAAGGCACAGCTAGCTCCTGCCTGCTCTGAGGGCTGCTGTGGCTGCGTGGCCACCTGGAATTTGGGTACCCAGGCCACCACAGGAGAGAGGTGCTGAGCAGAGGCACTCTCCTCTCTAACCCTAATTGCTCTACAACCAGCGAACCTGAAGTTTCATACCCCCCCCACCCCCCGCCCGTAAAGCCTTTGTCACGTCAAATTAGATGTGCAAGGGATAAATCTTAAGAGATGCTCTTTCCAAGTCGACATGATAATTGGCTCTTTTATTAGTAATCTCAAGAGTTCGTTTAACTCCTGTTGTATCTATTAGCCTTCCCAGAGCTATTAATGTCACAAGTGATCTATCCAAAACGGAGGGAGCCCCCCGCTTGGTTGGACTGCGCCCGCCAAGCGGAGCGGGCTAAGGCAGAGGAGAAAGGGAAGGCGGCCAGGACCCGAGGCACGGAACGGCGGCACCTCCCCGCCGGCCGCCGCCGGGCAGGGACCGAGCTGTATTTTGGGGTGCCGGTCCTCCGCCGGGTTACGGGTTTTCCACGTCTAAATTTGTGCACTGGCGGGGCCCCGGGCTTGCCGCACGCCCTGCGCCGCTGCCCGGGCACTGCCGGCCCGACACGGCGGTACCGGCGTGCGGCACCCCGGCCTCGGCGCCCGACGGGGGCTGCAGCGGGGTCTTTTCAATTTCCCCGCTGCGGGTCGAGGGATATCCGGCTCTCCCCCTGCGCCTCCCGACGGGAAAGGGGAGGGGTGCCCCCGCTGCGTCCCCGCTGCCCCGCAGGCGGTGCGGGCCGGGGCTGGCCGCAGAGAGCGGCTCGGCTGCTTCCCCTCCCTCCCCGGCTCCCCGCCCGCTCCTCACCCTCACCTCCCTGCTCCTCCCTCCCTGCAGGCCCCGTGTCCCTCTCCAAGTCTAACAACAACGCCGTCTCCTCCATCCCCATCAACAAGGACGCGCTCTTCGGCGGGGTGGTGAACCCCAACGAGGTCTTCTGCTCGGTGCCGGGCCGCCTCTCGCTGCTCAGCTCCACCTCCAAGTACAAGGTCACGGTGGCGGAAGTGCAGAGACGCCTGTCGCCGCCCGAGTGCCTCAACGCCTCCCTGCTGGGCGGAGTGCTCCGGAGGTGAGGGGAGGGGGGACGCGGGAGGCGGGATGCCGGGCCGCGCCGTGCGGGAGGCAGGCAGGCAGGGAGGGAGGGAGGGATAGGGATAGGGATAGGGATAGGGATGGAGGCAGGGAAGGCGGGGGACGAGCGCCCACGCGGGGCGGCGGCGCGGGGGGAGTGCGGCGGCCGCCGCTAGGGGGCGAGGCGCGCGCGGCCGGCGGGGCAGCGCGGCCGGGCGGCGGGAGGGGGCCTGGGCGCTGTCGCCATGGCAACGCGCGGCCTTGCGCGGCCCCCGGAGCCCCGCCGTGGGGGCCCTGCGTGTCCCTGTCCCTCTCGTGGCCATGAACACCCCCACGGGCACACACACATATACACACTTACCCCCAGGAACGGCTTAGAGGCGGGCACCCTGCCGTGGGCTCCCACCCTGTGGTGGCCTCACCCAGGCAATTAGGCAGTGCCTGGGCAGGGAATACCATCCAGGATTAATTAAGGCAGCTCCCATCTCTGCAGCCCCGCTTAGCCCAGCTCTGCTGCGAAGCCACAGATGGGCCACGTAGAGTTTGGTGTGAGAGCAGTGATGCTCTGGGGCTGTCGGCCCTGCAAATCGTCCCCCTCTCTTCACGCCCTGGGAGAAGCTGCCCCCGTGTCCATGGCACCTTGGGAGCTCAGGGAGACACCTCAGAGCTCCGCATCAGCTCCTGGGATGATCTAGAACTTAGTGAGGGCCGCTGTTCTTGAGGTGTGATCCAAAGCACCATCCCTATATGTGGGCTTCAGCTTTCAGCAACAGTTGGTCTTGAACCTCCCACAGCCATGCATCCCATCCCTTGTGCCTAAACCTTTTATTCCCTTCCCTGGAAAATGATGTGTTGGGGACATGTGTGGGCGGGAGTCAAAGTAGGAGCAAGTGTTCCCCCAAGCCCCATTTCTCAATGCCTTTCTGTGTGGAGCAGGGCAAAGTCTAAAAACGGAGGGAGATCTCTGAGGGAGAAACTGGACAAAATAGGACTAAACCTGCCAGCTGGGAGGCGTAAAGCTGCTAACGTTACCTTGCTCACCTCACTCGTGGAGGGTAAGTGACTCCAAGAGCTGGGAGGGCTCCTTTGGAAAATGTGCCTGTTACTTTTGACAAAATGGGAGAAGATTTGCTGTTGGGTTGTTCGGGGTTTCTTTCTCTTTTCCCAGAGTTGGTGCTGCTCACTGGCATTTGGAAGGGCGTTATTTTCTGTGTCTTAAAAAAAGATCAGGTTAATTGTGTGCCTTTGCTTTTTTGTTATAACCTGAAACGGGTTTGTGCGAGTCCTGCAGACTCAGCAAAGCGTTCTATTATTTATTTGCTTTTAAGTTTCTGAGCTAGATGTTTTTAGGGCCCCATCTTGCTCGCTCATTCAAATGAGTAATCCCTCTGTGGAGTAAGCAGATCCCATTGGGAGCAGCATGGGAAGGATCCCTGTGAAGGGAGATTGTGGGCTTGTGAGCCCCATAAGAGACCCATGAATATCGAGTTGAAAGTTAGGGGCAGCAGAGCCTCTAATACTTCACTGCTGTTCTTCTGCCACAGGTGGACAACCAAGCAATTTTAAATGTCAGAAGCTGCAGCTACTTTAAGTTTGTTTTCCCTCCCAGCCTGCAGCCACATAACAGTAAATCATTTAACTTTTCTGACATCTGCATTTGAGAAATGCGTGACCATTACTTCCTGAATTAATTTGGGAATCCTTGACCTGAGCCATGAATTAATGGTGTCCTGAAAGCCTCAAAGTTGCACCACTGCCAGCCCCCACTCCCTTTTGGTTCTCATTTTCAGAACACATGTTCCCTTGGCTGTATCATTCTCCTCTGCTTTGGCTGGAAAAGGTGCAACTTGCTTTAATGCATTGGGATGTCCTGTGCTGTCTGTACGGGGAGGTGGGAAGCTCAAGAGTTTGCAGTTATTTAATTTTGAAGCAGTGGCTGTGTCACACTGGCTGACACAAAGTATGTCTGAGGCCTGCAGAGAGACCCCTCTCCTTTCCCCTTACTTTCGAGTTCGGCTGCATTTTAAACTGGTTCAGTTTCTAAAGTGCTTTTAAGCTCAGCCTGAGCTGTCCAGGTTCAGCTTAAGTTTGGTTGTGTAGGCAGGAATTTGTTTTGTTGTCGCTTCGCATTCTGCAAGAAATGTTTCATGTTCAAAGGGATGGGGAAAGACGCGCTGTGTGATGATGCCAGGCGTCATTTTTTTAAACATCAGGATTAGTGAACAAACTATATTTATACTGCGTGAAAATTACCGCGGCTTCATGTTTCTGAAAAGGCTTTGCAATTGCATTGACACGCTGCTGTAGTAAAAAAAATCACGAGGGGAAAACTTGTAAAAAGTCTAGATTTGGTAGATGCTTAACATTATTTGTGATGTTAATGAATATGGAGAAGGTTTTATGGTAATCCATTGTTCTGTTTGGCTTTCACATACAATGGCTTTGAAAAGAATGATTTTTTAAAAAAACAAAACCAGAGGCCTGATCTTCAGATAACTTAGTGATGGTGGCTAATTCTGGGGAGATGATAGTATAAACATTGCTGAGGCTTCGAGTCCCATAGCGATGAGGCAGTTTCTAGAGCACTGTTATTGTTTATGATCCGCTCCATTTTATGGAAACAAGCTCACTGGACTGAGGCTTTGAAGCTCTAATTGGCGCATGCGTTCTTCCGGAGCTAGAGCTAATGGCAGGAAGCCCTGCAGTAAAAACCAACTGGTTCAGGAAATTAAAACCAAAGATTTGAAAATCAACAAAACAGACAGACTCGGTGGAATGACCCTAAAATTCTCATGGTTAATCGTTTGGGGGTGAACATATAATTATATGCGATCAAGTTAAATTTTAAACACTTAGCTGTTTAATGCATTTTATTTAGAAGAGCTCTAGGAGTAATTATGATCAATACTGATCATTGATGCATTGCAAAAGAATATAGAAATGTGGCTGAGGCAAACACATTTTCAGAGTAAATAGCTGTGAATAAAATGTACATAAATGGCTCTCTATCGGTATGGAGATGTAAATAGAAGCACACATTCTAAGTGGATGGAGCCGGTCTGTCTAAAAATATCTCTTAGTCAATGTGAACTTTTAAAAATTCTTATGTGAGATTTCACTTGTAACAGTTGTTATGAAAATATGCATTTGCAATGCCTTCAACTGAAGCAACGAAAACTGCAAGATAAGATTTAATTAACATTTCTGGCCCTAACTTTTTCAAAGAGAAAATGTCCAAGCTTTTGAGAAGAAAAGCCCAAGTAGAATGTAATGGTTTTTTTAATTGTATTTTTGCCTCTGTTCAGTGTGTACTGATGAGCTGTGTTTCTTTCCGTCCCCACCCGTGCCTCCCTATTCAGGAGAAGCAGTACATCTAGCTAGAGATTTTGGGTACGTTTGTGAGACAGAATTTCCTGCCAAAGCAGTAGCTGAATTTCTCAACCGACAACATTCCGATCCAAACGAGCAAGTCACAAGAAAAAACATGCTTCTAGCTACAAAGTAAGACATTTAACTTTCTGGCATGTTGCTTAGAAATAAGGGAGGGGGACAAACTCGAGTTTGGGGCTTTTATTTGTGAAGATATTTGTTTTCTGCATAACCAGTGGCTGATGGCTTTGTAAGTTGGGAGGGTGTGTGTTGGCCCTCCTACTACAGGAGAGCTTGGTTTCCTCCAAATCTGTTTGTGCAGATTACCTTGAATGTCAATTGTGCAAATTGAGAGTGGATGTTTAGTTACAGAAAAAGCAGTAATTCTTCAAAGCAAAACATCTTCTGGGCCTATTCACTTAGCTTATCAATTTAAGTAGAAGGGGAAGTCTTCCCATTGACAGTAAAATAAAACTGGCACATTAAACCGATTTCAGTTCATTAAAATCGGGAATGGTTCTTCCTGCCTAGGCAGCACTGTTACTTAGCTAATACAGGGATATTAAAAATATATTTTAAATGACAATCTGTACGCAGTTAAAATGCTAGCAGAGTTTATCGTTGGTGGGGCTGCCTAGACTTCCAGGTAGTGTGTGAAAAGAAAATTATTGTTTTGGTATGTTTGCTGGAAATTAAAAGGGTTGTTTAGTAGCCCTTAATTACCAACAGAGGTGTCACCAAAGGGCACAGTGCTAGAGGACACAAGCAGGAGATGGGAGCTGCTTTATGGCTGGAAGACATTAACGTGGGTTTTAGAATACAAACTGTTTCAACATGCCTCTGAGCTCTCTTGCTGTAAGGTGTGTTATTTCTCCAACCATTTGTGCAGTGAGTGGGTGATATAACCTATCTTCTGCACCATGCCCTCATATCCTCCCTTTTCACCTCCCTGGAAGGAAATTTCCAGGCGCTGGTTAGCGTCAGCTTTCCCCTCTGTGGAAAGGTCCCTTTGGATTTGGAGATAGACATTTACATATATAAATGTTTCAGAATACCCTAATTTAAATCCTCACTTGCCAGTGAGGATTTTGCCCTCACTCATTGCCCTCACTCATTCTTCATGACACACAGGTGTGTGTTTCAGCCTTGTGAAGGAAGAGGGCCCTATCTCTCTCTGGCTTCCCCCTAAAAAAGGAATCTTCTAAGATACGGATAAATCCCTTAGCTTACCTTTGGATATCTTAGCCTGTCTATTAAGCCTGCTCAGGAACTTTAAACTGTGTCTGTGCTCCAAACCCCAGCAGGGCAGGGATGTGTGTTTGTGAAGAGTGTTGGGGGTTGAGATACAGAGAGTGGTGGGGCAAGAGGCATGTGTCTCCATGTTCCTGTTGCCTGCCGGTGTGTTGGATGGGGCTGGGGTGTGATGTGTGGTGGGTGTGCTGTTGTGTGTGCATGCAAGGTGAAGGGAAGAGGTTTGTGCCTGCTGGGGAAGTGTGAGAATTGGGGAAGGATTCAGAGAGAGGAGAGGGAGAAAGGAGAGTGTGTATGCTCAGGAGCAGGAGCCCCCTTGGTCCAGGGGCTTGTGCAGTCTAGCAGGGAGAATGCACGGGCTTTGCTGCCGCCAGTGATGGTTCATTTCTCTCCCTCTCTCTTCCCTTCCCTCCCTCCTTCCCTCTGTCTCTCTGCTCCATTTGTGCTACAGACAGATCTGTAAAGAGTTCACCGACCTGCTGGCTCAGGACCGATCTCCCCTGGGGAACTCGCGGCCCAACCCCATTTTGGAGCCGGGCATCCAGAGCTGCCTGACCCACTTCAACCTCATCTCGCACGGCTTTGGGAGCCCGGCGGTGTGTGCTGCTGTCACCGCCCTGCAGAACTATCTCACCGAGGCGCTCAAGGCCATGGACAAAATGTACCTCAGCAACAACCCCAACAGCCACACAGACAACAGCACCAAAAGCGGCGACAAAGAGGAGAAGCACCGAAAGTGAGGATCCCCCCCACACACGCTCCTCTCCCTTCCCCCTCATAGCCCATCGATCCATTCATCTCCCTCCTCCCTCTCCCCGGCACCCAGCACCCCAGGCTACAGCAACAGAATGAGCGTCCTTCTGCCAGTCCTGTTCTCTGACTCTGCAGGACTGCTCTGCCCTCTCTCCACACCCCTTCCCAGCATCCACATTTCCATTTGCTCCTGCTTAAATTCCCCTCTCTTCCCACTGCCACCATCGTTTAATCCCAGTTTGGAGCCTAAGAGAACAGAACAGGGGGACGGAGCCAGCAAAGAAAAAAAGTTCTGTCTTGAGTTTGTGAACTTTTTTTTAAATAAAACAAAAGGAGAAAAAAAAACCAACAAAAAATAAAACAAAAAAGAAAAGGACTTTTTTTTTTCTAAAAATATATTAAAAATTAAAAAAAAAACAAACAAAAAGAAATAAATGATACTTTAAAATTCTATGAGCTTCACCGGACTGAATCACCACCTTCCCTTACATAAACTTCAGTTAAGATTGTAGCCATACTAACAATGAAAGAAAAAAGTGAAAAAGTACAACAGCAACAGCAGACAGACAAAAGGCAAAGAGGACTGATGACATTTTATCAGTATTGTGAATAAACTTGAACACAAAACACAAGCAGTTCCATGTCATATCTTCAGTTGTAGAACTTTTTCCTGTCCAAGGTAAAGCGACCAACTTGAACTTTCTATTGCAACACGATTCACGGTTATTATATAAGGGAATCAGTGTTCATGTATGTATATATTTATTTATGTGTAATTTAATGGGAATTGTAAATATGGTGAGTCTGTTTTAAGCCTTTTTTTATTTATCTGGTGATCTCGTTTACCTCTTGTTTAGTGGGTTTTAAATCTTTCCCTCTTAGTTCATCATGTGGTTCATGGTACTTATTTAGATATCAGAGGTTTTTTGGGGGTTTTTCTCTGGGATTCATCATTTTTAGCCCTATTGTAGCATGTTAAAAGCGACAATGAAGCAGCTGAACAAATAAAAAACCATTAATTTTTATATATAATTAGTATGACATTTAGTTTCTCATTGAAGGTAAAATAAAGTGATGTTGGACCCTGGCAAGGTTTTTAAACATGTTAGTGGTTTTACAACCCTTATGTGTTGTGGAAAATGAAAAAAGTTATTTTCATCCACTGTCCTCCCGAAAGCACCAACAGAGCAATAAATTAATATTGTCTTTTAAAACAAGATTTAGCTTTACTTTCCTTTTTTTTCCCCTCTGTTTTTTCTCGCTTTCTTTTGTTTTTATTTTTCTCTTTTTTTCTTTTTTCTTTTTTTTTTTTCCCAAAGAACTTCAAACATTCGGGACCACCTGGTATCCTATATTTCCACTGGCCATATTGGAAGCAGTTATAGTTGTGTTGTATTGAGTTGTGCCGGCAGTAGTTTCCATGCCTATCAATGTATCATAGTCCTTTGTTGCCCAGATAAATAAATATTTGATACGCTTTATGTCGATTTTTTTATTCAGTAGCTGTCTTTACCCAGGCGTATTTTTGTTCTTGGCAGTATTTTTTATTCAGTATGGTTACAGTAATTGAGTTTAACTCTCCCTTGACAATTGCTCCTTGCAATAAGCAGCTGAACCCATTGTTTCCCTCAAGTATAATAAAAACTTACTTTCAACTTGGAGTTCAGAGCAGGGTATCATTTAGATATTCCACTGAGTCTGTATTCAGACAAATGACACAATAAAGCACAATGTATTCTTTTGGATAAAAAATTGTCTGTACTACTAACAAAAATGACACACTATCTTTTCTTTAACCAAAACATAATTTTATTTAAAAAATAAAAGTTTTATTTTATTTATGTTGACCTCTAGGTTTTTATTTATGTTTATATATAGCATACAGAATTATAAGCCTATAAAATTTTGTACATGTAGTTGTCCTAACGGAGAGCAGAGATTAAAAAACACATCTCAAGAAGGACATTTTAAAAAGAATCATTACTGAGAAAATACTGAAAATTATTGCGATGAAAAAGAAATTTATACTGATAAATCAGAGCTGGGCGCTCCCTCCCCCTCAAGAAAAAAGAAAAGCTCCGTAGTTGATGCCAACAAAATCATCTCACGGTTGTGAACTTTAGTGAAATCTTGCAGGAGACAGATTATTTCTGATTGATGGTTCGTGTTTTAGTGGAATGCACAGACTGACATTTTGAGATGGCTGTGTCAGTTTGTAAGGGACTGAAATTTTTATCTTGAGTTTCTTCTTGTGGAAACCAGTTGTGAAACAGGGAAGTTTGCTTTAAAAAAATGGAGTGTATGTCTTGAAGATGGTCTATAAAAACATGTGAGAATTCAGATTTTGAATCTATTTTCTTTGGCCCGGGGGGTAGGTGAAGTCAGGATCAGGCTGGATTATGTTATATCATAGGAAGGGAGACTTAATGGAGTTTAGAATGTAAAGGCATTTTAAAGAGAGGGTCTCCTTTAAGTGTTGACAGTATTCTAGTAGAGGAGGCTGATTTTTCTCCTTCCTTTCCTCCCTGACTCTCTCTCTCTGCCTTTTTTCTCCTTTTTGCTCAGGCAGAAATTGAGGAGGTTAGAAGGGAGGTGTTTACAATAAAGCTGCACAGAGAATTAACATTTGCTCATATATTTTGACGTTTGGTAGAGCTGGTGAAGCAAAGCATTAGATAAAGCCCAAGATGTTTCATTTTGCTTTGGTAATCTACTTATGGAAGGCAGTGTAAAATCAATCTTGCCAAGCAGAAAGAGAGTTGGTGGAGTCTAAATTCTATTTTCGTGAGCCAGCTAGTTTATAAAAATGGTGAATATTTTTTTCTATAAATTGAAAGTGGATCTTTTGAATGCAAAGCTGCAATTGTTTTAAAAACAGTTATTTATTATTTCCAAGAGAGATTGGTTAACCGTAAAGTAGATGTAACAAAATAATGAGGTGAATGAACCCTAACTGTACATATTCTTGACATAAATGAAATGCACAGTACTGTAGCAGGTGAAGTGAAGCATTGTCTATCAGGGCTGTTTTTCTTGGCTGCATCTCAGATTGTGTGTGGGATCCTAACCTCAGGCACAATAGCATTCATAAACAGCAATACATTGCTGCTCTTTCTACAGCAACACATAAATACTCATTTTTAAACGAAAACAATCTTATTAAATACCATTCATTCATATCTGGATTTACAGATGCTTGTTACTTTTTGAAACCTGTACCCAATATAATCGTTTTATACTGGTCAATGTATAAAGCAATCTTATGCTAGAACATTATAAGGTCATAATAAATAATGTTTTAAACATATAATTAGCTACTTCATAGTAGGAGAGCGCATATTAGGTATTCTGCTGCTGGATTAGCAAGCCACCAAAAACCAGAAATGAAATGACCTTGCATAGATTTCTTTATTACTATTATTTCTAAGGAAGGATTTTACAGGCGATAATGGAAATCAGACCAGGTTTGGTTCAGCCTCTTCTGCTGTGACCAGTGTGCAGTTACTAAAACATGCTAATTACTTCAGCATTCTTTGGATGCATTTTTAACGTTGTGATCGAGGTGCAGCAGTGAAATTCTAGGTCATGCTTTTATGCACTAAACAGAAATCTGTTGTTATTGTCCCCCCCGCCCCAGATCGGCTGGAGCGGGGGTGAGTGGTGGCTGAATGTTAGAGCGTTGCTGCCATGCTGAGCTAATTCCTACATGTGAACCAAAATACAGCTTGGTGCTCTTCCACCGTGAACAAGGACAGCCCTCCTCTTTGTACCGCATTTTACCCCACCCTCCAAAAATCAAATATTAATATAATTTGAGATTTAACTGGTGGAACAGCCATCAGGACAGCAATGCCCCGCAGCTGAAATAATATTTAAAATAGAAGAGATTTGACATTTGAGAAGTCAGTGGCTTGAAATACCCAGTTGTACTTAGCTAATTCAGTCCTTAACCTCTGGTTTCAAATAAATCAATTACAGTCGATTCCACTTCAGTTCAGAAGTGCACAAGGTTTTTAGTTAATTGAATACATTTTATTCACTGGCTAGGAGTATTCATTTATCCAAACCCTTACATTTAAAGGCAATTTCTTTATTGTCCATGATAAATTCGACTGCATAATCAGATCAGCTCCTTGTTTGTTTACTCGTCTTCTACCTCCCATTTAAATTCCACAATGTGTGCTTCCCTTTCCCTCCTTGGTATATGAATATCTCAGCCCAGACCGGATTCCCACAGCCTCAGCCCTCATGTTAGGAAAATGTAGCTAAAATAACTTGTGCCCTTCTGACAGGGATCAGTGTGAAGTCCATCCCAGCTAGTAAGGGCACAGTGATTTAAACTGGCTCCATAATCAAACGGGAAAGGTTGGGAATGTAAAAAAAAAATAAATGGTACCTTTGATTTTGTCCCGTGCACCTTTTCTGCATGAAAGAGCTACGTCTCTGCTCCCTGCCCTGCAAGCAGCTGGAGCTGTTATCCTAGAGAGGATTTGGAGCCAGCTTGGTGTCAGCAGGATAAGATTTTTGTTGAGCACCAGGCAATGAAGTTGTGCCCCTGATCCACATTGAACAGATACTGGTATACACTTTGCGTATGTGTTGTTTGCAGAATCCTGCTGGCGTTGGTTTACTGTTTTGGAAAGGAAAGAGGTTAATTAGCATCATTATCAATCACTAATGCTTGTCTAACGTGGCCAAAGAATAATCAAGTTAGGGAACTGCATGAAGCTAACATCTGCTTCATTCCAGTTAAAGATTTTTCCTTATATTGTTCAATTATTGGAAGTTCACACCGGTTTCAGGCTTTGTCAGGGCCATAAAGCAGGGTCAGATCGTTAGAAATCTAGAATGGAGGGGAAAGTGCAATATAAATAACAAATGGCTTCATTATTTGAGTTACAGGTGCAAGAATGGCTGTGAAAATGAGTAGGGTTTACTAGAATGTGTTCCTTCTTTTTTATCTCCAGTACAGAGGAAAAAATAAATC